ATTAGTATAAAATTAATTTACTTTTTTGTTTACATGACTTTAAAAAATAAGATGTATGACATAAAATATTTTTACATTGAGATACACAAGTGATGTAAATATCACCATTTTATTAGGAAAACTTATCTACCAACAAATCTAATGCATGATCCTTGTTATCAGTAATGATGTCTTCAGGAGTCTCTATTATAAGAAGATTTTATATTAAAATTTACCCAGTTGTACATAAGAGGCAAACTTTTATAAAAGAACATAAATGTGATACATTGAAAAATCAATCTGAAAGGCATAGGATTTTTTTTGTTGTTTCAAGAGAGAGTTTCTATTTCTTGCTTTGAAACTAATATTAAAATGAAAGGATGTCAAATACTGAAACATAATAACTTCACAAGTGAGCAAAGAAAAAAATGGATGTATCTTCTTAATAGAGTTAATTATTGTGCTCCTAAGAATCAGAGTATTTTATTAATTATTACAATGCTATTGCTTCTTTCACAACATTGTAAGTAAATTAAATATATCTACTAAAGGGTAGAGAGTGGTAGCATAGTGGTTATGAGTCAGACTGCTAACCTCAAGGTCATCAGTTCAAAACTACCAGCTGTTCCTGCGGGAGAATGATGAGGCTTTCTTCTCCCGTAAAGATTTACTGTATAGGTCACTATGGGTCAGAATCGACTCAACAACACTTATCAACAATCAATTCTGACCCACTGTGACCCTGTATAGGGTTTCTGAGGAGTGGCTGGTGAGCTTGAACCACCGACCTTGTGGTTCAGACCAGATTTCTAGTCCAGCACATTAGCCTACAGTGCAACACCAGGACTCCAAAGTGCTGGTAATAGTTCTTAGTGCATTTTGATTTACAGATTTAACATGGTATCTTATTTTTATGTATTGCAGGGAGCCCAAGGTCATATCACCAATGGATGCATACAGTCAAGGTAATTACAAGTGTTCAAAATGTTTTCTTTCACTCTATAGTGTATGTAAACATGTTCATTATATATATTCATTATATAGTATACGTTGTATATGCTTATACTTTTTTCAACATTTGCATCTTTTTCACATTTAAATATTTTTATTTTATGCTGATAGCTTGTTGCTATTCATAAAGATAATTTTAAAATAGGAAGATTCTACCCCTCCCCCCTCCAAAAAATGGCTTGTTTTGAAAAGTTAAATCTCAGTCATCTTACACTATTGCCCTTCTGTGTCCACAGGGTCTGCATTAATTGAGTCAACACAGATTGAAAATACTTAAAAAACAAAAGAACAAATCTCAAAGCAATCCCTCAAAGTCTAAGAAAGAACATTAAGATAAATGTTACATAGCATTTACATTGTAGTAGATCTTATAAGTAATCTAGAGACAAGTTTTGTGTGGATTATATACAAATACTGTACCATTTTATATAAGGAACTTGAGCATCTACTGATTTTGAAATCTGGTGGTGGGGTGGAGAGGGGATGTCAGAAGCCGGTTCTGGAACCAATGCCCTGGGGGTACTAAAGGATGACTGTATTTTATTTCAGAAAAAGAAATTAGGTATTATAGGATCCAGTGGAAGTTTTTATCATTTCTTACAAACTGATTTTGTTAATGTGATTTTTTTAAATGTAAAAACTCTTCCACAGATTGAAACTTTATTGCCTAACATCAAAACACTTGGTAAAGATTATATTACTTTTTTCATTAATAAGCTTTTTAATATATACCTACTATTGGTCATAAGGTCGCTATGAGTCGGTGCCGACTTGATGGCACCTAACAACAACAACAACATTGGCCATGTTGTTCAGGCCTGCCTAAACTACAAAGAAAAAATGATTTTTTAAATGATGTGTTCTACCAACTAAAAGGTAGTCCTGGTGTGGTGCTGTGGTTTAATGCGCTGAACTGTAAAGTTGTTTTGAACCACAAGGTCCACTATTCAAGCTCACCAGCCGTTCCTTGGAAACCTTATACAGGGTCACTATGGGTCAGAACCAATTCAAAGGCACTTAACAACAACAACCAACTAAAAGCACAAGGTAGAATGTTTGCATACTGTTTGAAATAACTCCATATGTTGCTTCATTGTTGTTAAATGGTATTGAGTTGGTTTCCACTCATAGCAACCCTGTATAGGATTTCTGAGGAGTAGCTGGTGGGTTTGAACTACCGATCTTGCAATTACCAGGACTCCTTGTCCAAATCACAGTGTCCTATTTCATAGAACATATCAAGTATATTAAGCATCACATGACTCTCTATATTGAAGATGCTAAACATGACTCTTTTTTTTTTTTTTTTGAAGTTTTTATTGTGAATTGAGTGATAGTTTACATGGGAGAACATCAGCTTTACATTTATCGTATTGTATTTCATTTCATTGCAATGATTACAATCCACTTCATGCATCATCAAACAACCAGAGGGTACACCTTACAAGCCTGCCCCCTGGCCACCAGCACACAGCCTGTCTCTCTCCCTGAGTCCAGAGTCCCCCAGCCGCTCCATCTCTCCACGTCATCATCTATGCCTTCATCTCTGGCATCACTGCTTCTCCCTTGATGGTCCTAGGGTCCTCCACTCCAGGACAGCAAAATCAGCCACTCCCCTCCTTTTGTTACAAAATGTCTACCTTTACATTTACAATTCTCACAGTCAATCCTGATAGCAGTTATTCACTATTGAACCAGAAGACTTTTATCCCCTTCTCCTTTCACCAGCCCAGTCCAGACATGTTGGAAACACTCAGTAGATATTCTACCTTCCACTGCATGTTCTGGAACTAGCCTCCCTCTTGAAAGCTTGTAAGCCAGTCACTTCATGCCTTTGTAGCCCACCCCCTCCATATTGGGTAGCTAATGTCTATGTTGCCCATTCCTGTCAACCCTGTGTACTGAGGAGGTGGGGTGAAATCATGTTAAAGAACCTTGGTTTAACTTTGAGTAAAGCTTTTTTTAATACTCTTAATAATGTTTATTTTAGTAAAAAAAAAAAAAAAAAGAATTGGAAATATATTTTTCTTGTTTCTTTGCAGAAAGGAGGTGCGCTGTTTAACACAGCAATGACCAAAGCAACCCCTGCTGTGAGAACAGCATATAAATTTGTAAGTTGTTTGCTTTTGATGTAAATTCTGTTGATAAAATTAAATGCTTTACTTGCTAAAAGGCATTATCAATTCAGGATATTTTCTAATTTTCTTTTATATATAATTATATTTTAATTTAGAGTTAATATCAACAAAAGCGAATCAGTAATTAAAATTATATCATTGTATTGAGTTAGGAGTTCTTGTGATGCTGTCGGATAAGCACTGGACTACTATTAATGGCAAGGTTCAAACCCATTAGCTGCTCTGTGGGAAAAAAAGGAGGCTTATTCCATATTATTTGGCTGCTGTTGGTAAGTGCCATGAGTTAGTTCAGATACATAGCAACCCTGTGTAGGGTTTCCAAGGTACAGCTGGTGGGTTTGAACTGCCGACCTTCTGGTTTGCCATCCAGTGCTGATCCTACAGCACCTCAGAAACCCAACATAGGCTTTCCATGAGTTGGAATCCCCTTGATGGTAGTGGATTTTGTAGAGAGGATACTCCTTTATCTAATCTAATTTGTTCCTCAAAACTATCAGCAAGAAATGTGCAAGGAAACTGAAGCAGCCCATGATGAGGTTCTATTTCTTAAGATTTAATTTTCGTTCAGTATTTTTGTAAATTTTCATTGTATACCTGAGGCATAACCAGATAAAAAATAGAAAATTGTGGCAAGATCTCTTCCTTCGTGAAATATGCCTTAACTCTCCATAATTAAAATTCTTCAGTGGTTTTCCATGGTGTATTGTAGACTAATAGCAATCAATATAATAAAAAGAAAGGTCTCATTAGTCTGACAGGTAAGATGTTTGAAGAGCTGACCCTTCCTATAATGTTTGATCTACCCTCATTTCCCTGAATCTTCCATATCTATGTTGTTGTTGTTATATGCCGTGGAGTCAGTTCCGACCCACAGCGACCCTGTACAGGGTTTCCGAGGCTAAAAATCTTTACGGGAGTAGAAAGCCTCATCTTTCTCCTGCGGAGCGGCTGGTAGTTTCGAACCGCTGACCTTAAGGTTCGCAGCCCGATTCATAACCACTACGCTACCAGAGCTCCGTATCTATAGGCATACTTCATCTTGTGACTTCAGGATGTTCTCTTTGTCCTCTCTAGCATCATACAAGTCATTCCTATTATTTGCAGTGTTCATTTCTTAGAATTTATTAACGTGTAGATACCAGTTTTTTCTATAAGACTTAAGTCAGGCATGAGCTCCCCTACAACCATTTGCCCAACCCAAGTAACAAAGACTTCATATACCATCTCCCTGGTTTCCATAAACGTGTAAATATACTTATATTCTAGCACTTGTTTATGTACATGCGTATTTCTAATATTAGACCAGTTGCTGCTTGTAGGAGAAGCTGTACCTTGTATTTTCACAATCAGTCCATAATATAATAGGTTGATATTGAATAAATTTTGCTTTTAAGTCATGGGTCGTATGTAGTCTAAGGAGCTCTGGTAGTGTAGTGGTTACGAATCGGGCTGCGAACCTCAAGGTCAGCAGTTCAAAACTACCAGTGGTTCACTACCAGTGGTTCCGCAGGAGAAAGATGAGGCGTTCTGTTCCCGTAAAGATTTACAGCCTCAGAAACCCTGTGCAGGGCCGCTATGAGTCAGAACCGACTCTACGGCACTTAACAACAACAATATATAGTCTACTTTTATATTTCTAAAAATATTTAGGACAGTAGATTGAATTTTGTAATAATTCATCTACAAATATTTTCTCAGTAAATAAGTCAGCACGACTGAATAAATAATAGATAATATGGTTTTCATAACTTAAAATTTTGTTATGTATGTAGTCACCATCTCCATGTTAAAAAAAAAAATCTATTTCCAATATTATATTTCACAATAGGGAGTTATTGTAAAAATACAGTTATCGTTTGAACTATTGGAAGTTGTATCACAAAACAAAAATTAAGAAGAAGTGATCATTTTGTCTTGGAAACACGAGCTTCTGCCTTTTGCTTGGTTGTTCACTGGCTTTCATAGGAAAGTTGTCTGTGTGAATCACTGTCTCACAATAATATAGTTTCTGAAGAGATTTAAAGTTTTCACAATGAAATAGCAGGCAGTTGCTTTGTGAAAAAAGACAATTGTTGAGCCTTGTTTCTCACATCCATTTAAGAGTCTCAAAAAAGGTTCAGCAGTCAAGTACCCCTTACTTGACTTGGAGGTTTTTCTCCAGGCTTAGAGAAGTTATAGTGTATCATTTTTGCCAAATATGTGGGTTTTTTCCATAAGTCCATTCATATTCCTCCATAAAAGCTTACACAATAAAAGCAAACATGTTCAAACCTTCATGTGTTATTTAAAACTTCATCCTTCTAATCAGTCAAGTATATTATTTCAGACCCTTCTCTGCAAATAGTCATATATTAAGAATTCTGTTCTTTGGAAAATTATTCCTTCAGGTAATTCCAGTCAGGTTAAGATCTTCAAGGTGTACTTAATCACTCCTGTAATAAATCAAGAGGTTTGTGGCAACTATGTCAACTAATATGTTACCTTCATAGTTGTACCTAAAACTTATCTTTCCAGAACTGCTCATATTCTGACAACTACACTTTGAAATTCTTCCTTTGACCACAAGTTAATGGGAACAAGATTCCTAATTTCTATTGTATAGGTGTAGCAGAGTATTTACATTGTGTTTCTATAGTTAATAATTTTTTTTTGTTTTGTTTTTTAAGTTTTTATTGTGAATTTAGTGATAGTTTACATGGGAGAACATCAGCTTTACATTCATCCTATCGTATTTCATTTCATTACAATGATTACAATCCCCTCCATGCATCATCATTCAACAGCATTTGCTTCCATTCCCTCTTTTTTGTTGTTGTTGTTTTTTTATTAATCTAGACGGAAGCACTCAGAAATCTATAAGCATTCAAACAACCAAAGGGTATACCCTGCAAGCCTGCCCCCCATGAACCAGCACACAGCCCCTCTCCTTCCTTGTGTCAAGAGTCCCCAGCCTCTCCATCTTTCCATGTCATCATCTCTACCTCCATCTCTGGTGCCATTGCTTCTCTGGATAGGGTCCAGCACTCTGCTCTTCTCCATTGATGGATCCAGGGTCCTCTGCTCCTGGACTGCAAGATCAGCCACTTCCCTCCTTTTGTTAGAAAACGTCTATCTTTACATTTGCAACATTCACGATTAGTCCTGATAACACTTATTCGCTAATGAACCACAAGAGTCTTACCTCCATCTCCTTTCAACCAGACAGGTTGGAAACCACTCAGTGGAGATTCTACCTTCCCCTGTGCCCTCTGAAACTAAGCTCCCTTTTGAAAACTTATAAGTCAGTCTAATATATATATATATATATTTTTTAAATGAGAACATTGTTTTTACCTCTGTCATTTTTTTAAACAAATTGCTTGAGTTCTTATCATGAACTTGGCATAGAGGATAGAGCAGTGAATAAGGAAAATACCAGGAGTAAAATAAATTCTGTCCTTGCTTTTAAGGAGCTTTGGTGGTGCAGTGGGTTTAGCATTGGGCTGCCAACCACAAGCTCGATGGCATACCTGGCCTTTTTTGGAAGCAGTCAGCCTCATCTTTCATCATCTGCTCTCATAAAGATGTGCAGTCTGGGGAGCAGTTTTACTCTGTCCTATAGGGTTGCTAGGAGCCAACTCGATGGCAATCAGTTTGGGTTTTGGTTTGGTCCCTGTTTTTATGTTTGTTTCCCTGTTACACTTTGTCCTGTGCTTTGAACACACTACAGAAGTACTGGTATGTATTTGTTGAAGTAAAATTGATGGTATGTTCTATGATAAAAAAAAAAAAAAAAGTTTTTTATATACAGGGGCCATAGAGAAAACTAGAGTTGTTACACATATTTTCTTATAAATCTAAGAATAACAGCTAAATCAAATACATATTTGATTGACTGAAGGGTTTTCTAAGCCAACTTTCTTGCTAGGTCTTTACATTTGAAATTCTCAATCAAAGCCATTTTCTTGATGCCTTTCTGTAGAAATTATTTGAACACTGGCAAGTGTCAATTTGTATAGGTAATGTATCTGTTTTGGTTAAGTTTCCTCTTGGTAAGTTGAAAAGGATGGAGAGAACCCATGCACCATCTTCCAGGTAGTTTAGAAGAAGTTGCAAAGGAGGTAGAGCAATGAGTATCAGTACCCAAAGTATAGAACAGGGGAAGAGACTGGCACCAAGTTCAACTGTATGCATTATGAAACATCTAAAAAGATTAATGTAAATCAGGAGGGTTTTGAAAGAGTTGTTGTTGTTAAGTGCTGTCGAGTTGACTCCGACCCATAGTGACCCTGTATAGGGTTTCCAAGAAGCAGCTGGTGAGCTTGAACCACAGACCTTGCAGTTCAAACAACTTTGCAGTGTGATGCATTAGCCCACAGTGCCACACCAGGACTCCTTTGAAAGAGTAGTTGTTGGTGGTGGTGGTGTTAAGTATCTTGGAGTCAGTTCCGACTCACAGTGATACTGCACAGGGTTTCCGAGGCTGTAAATCTTTACAGGAGCAGAACGCCTCATCTTTCTCCCGTGGAACCGCTGGTAGTTTTGAACTGCTGACAGTGAGATTAGAGGTGAATTGAAATAGTTCAAGTGTGAGCAAAAGTAGGTAGAAATTCTAGGAGATGGGAACAGTAGCCTTGCCTCTTGATAATTATTTTCATATTGTTGTTGTTGTTGTTAAGTGGCATCGAGTCAGTTCCGACCCATAGCGACACTGTACAGGGTTTCTGAGGGTGTAAATCTTTACGGGAGTAGAAAGCCTCATCTTTCTCCCGCGGAGCGGCTGGTAGTTTTGAACCACAGACCTTACTAATGTAAGGATTATAATAGGACCTATTAAGTAAATGCAGTGTCTTTATAAATAAAATAACAAATGCTTTATTAACTACAAAGAACCATGGAAATATAATTTAATGTTATTTACCTTTTCAGATTATCTTTTACTATGTGTTCACATTGCCAGAAAAAGATGAGGCTTTCTGCTCCCATAAAGATTTACAACCTTGAAAACCAAGTTGATGACACTTAACAACAACAATAACAACTTGTGTTAATATGTTTTTGGTTTGTTTCATTTACAATGATAAATGATTGTTTAGTTTAAGATGTTTCTCAAGCATGCACCATATGCTTTATACTATGGTAAGTGCTGCAGATACTCACAAGAAAGAAAGAAAATCCTTGCCCTCAAGCACCTTAGGAAGGAAAGATGTGTACTCTTTCTAGAAGTATGGTTTTTAGGGAAAGCAGTATGGTTTAGTAGAAGGAGCAAGAATTTTAGAGTTAGACTATCTTGAGCCTATATCCCCTCAGTTTCATATCAGAATGAGGTTCATCCTACTGCTGTGGCATTGATTCTAACCCATAGCGACCCTTTAAGACACAGTAGAATTTAGGACTGCTTCATAGATTTCCCAGGCTGTAAATAGATAGGGAAGCAAGCTGTCGCATCATTCTCCCACGGAGTAGACAGTAGCTTTGAACCACCAACCTTTTCGTTAACTCACTGTGGCCTAAAATCAGTTTTGTTTTTTTTTTCATTTATTGTGAATTTTGTGAAGATCATCAGCTTTACATTTAACAAATGTACATGTGCATGGAGGGGACTGTAATAATTGAGATGAAGCAAATTACATTTGTTTCATGTGATTTGCTTCATCTCAATTATTTCAGTTCCCTCCATGCAACAGCACTTACCCTGCTTCCTCCTTGTTATTCCCTGTGATTACATTCCACCCATCTGCCTCTCCCTTCTCATCTTTGTCCTTAGGAACATGTTTGATCTAGGATGATTGACCATTCCATGGCGAGCATGCCTTACTAATGTTGTTATCTGGCTAGCTACCTTTCTATCATTTGCCTGAAAGTTGAGGCACAGGGTTGAGTTCCTTTCCAGACCTGAAAAATGGCCAGGGGCCATAGTCTTAGGTTCCTCCAGTTTCTTTCTGACTTGTAAAGCTGTTTTTTAATTAACTAATTTTTGGTTTTCGTTTTTTAATTAACTAATTTTCACCCTCTAGTGTGATTCTTTTCAGAGCTGTTGGTTGTGGTAGTTGGACACCATATAGTTCTTCTGGTCTCAGCATTTTGGAGACTGATGTTCACATGTTCCATTAGCCTGTTGGACTAATTGATTCCAAGCCTCTTCAGTTCTTATCACTCCACTTTCTTCTGTACATGGAGAGACCAATAGCTGCACTTAGGCGACTGCTCATCAGTCATTGTATTTTAAAAACGAGTTCTTCATTTCTGTTCTAAGGTGGAAAGGAGTTTGTCATTGGAATGAAATAGACCTGGGTTTGTATCTCGGGTATCTGAACTTATTCTTTCTGGAGTCACTTTCCTGACTTTTCATTGTAAAATGGAATAATAATAATAACTTTATAAGGTGATTGTGCTGACTGGATGAGATAAGTCTTGCTAAGCACCCTGTACACAATTGTATAATTTGTTGTTGTTAAGTGTCGTCCATTCATTCTAACTCATAGTGGCCCTTGTATAGGGTTTCTAAGGAGTGGCTGATGAGCTTGAACCACTGAACTTGTGGTTCAAATCGACCTTGCAGTCCAGAGCATTAGCCTGCAGTGCCACGCCAGGACTTAATAATCATATACTTAGGGAACACAAAATAAATGGGAATTCCTTGTCTCTTCTTCACTCTGACCACTATAAGTTGGAATTTCTAATGAACAAAGGTTAAGGCTTTTATGTTAGTCCCCACTCCACCCCCAGTTGTCTTCAATTAAGTTGTAACCCACAGGAATCAACAAGATCTGAGATACTCTAATGCTGATGGAGTCAGAGTGTCTGTGAGCATTAGCATAACCTTTGAATTAACTGACTTAAGTTTTACCTGAGTAAAACACACATACCATTAGGATGGTTCTGCTAATTACAAGTGGTCTTCCTGTAGAGGCATTATGATAAGTCTTTTGCAAAGTTGTCTGGGTTTCTTAAAGTCCAGACTTGGCTTAGATAGCCTACTGCTGTAAAGTGCTTTCCAGTCTTCTCCCCCGGTTTGTCACAGTTTCACAGTAAGCCAGCTGTGGTGATCTGGGAGTCCCTTTGTGCTCTTTATAGTTTAGGAGACAAGTAGGCTACATATTAGCCTTTGTATGATAGTAGTACACACATAGAGACTAGTCACATTTAGATATTGAATTACTTAGGGAGTACAGCATCCCTGAAAATGCATTACAATTTGTTCTTTTTCTAAATAATATCGATAGTTAGCAATTTTCAATAAATGTAATCTTGCATACTTTTTCTTTAAATACTATGCTGAGCCAGACACTTGTATTATCATTTTCTAGGCAAAAAATCATGCAAAGCAGGGAATTAAGGAAGTGAAGAATAAGCTAAAACACAAGGTACGTCATATTCTTCTTTTCATTCTGTCTTGATTCTTGCATTAGTATAAGCTTATATTTTACAAATCACATGAGATTTATGTTTTTAATGACTTTTGAAATATGCTTAGCCCTTTGTTCAAGAATATATTTTTCATAACAAGCCCTCTGGCAACTGTCTGCCATTCTATATGCATCCACTGAATAATCTCTTTATTGTTTGCATATTTTATCACAGAACTAGAAAGATCTTCAAAGACATTTTAATAGGATGTATGTTTTCATAAAGTGGATTGCCTTAATATCACAATTGAAGTTCTTGCTTAAGCTGAGCGTTTTTTGTTTGTTTTTTTAAAGATGATCTTTAGTGTAGAATTGAGCCAGGAATGCTATTGTCTGATTTTTGCAATAGTAGTTACTTTCAATTGAAGCATATTTGTAGTGCTATAGGAGAAGCACTGGATTGCTAACTACATGACCTGTGGTTCAAGCCCACCAGGTGCTTCTCAGAAACCCTATACAGGGTCACTATGAATCAGAACTTATTTGATGGCATTTGACACCCACAATGAACATTTGCCTTTGCAGCAATGACTGTTGCATGTATATGAATATTCATGTGTAGGTGTAGGTGTGCGTTGGGTTTGATTACACCTGGCATCTCTGTGGAGACTGTCAGGTACTGTGTCTTCAAACTCTACCTTTGGAGAAAAAGGATGGCATAATATTTCCAGTATAATGATAGAGAGCAAATGATTTTCATATAAGTTTTATTCAAATTATTAAAAATAGTCACATTTTATTTGGGAAATTATTTAGTACATATTATTAAAAATATGTTTTTATTCTCAAATAGGCTCTGTAAACTTATAATTGAAGTATTATTTTAGTTGTATCTGTATGTTTTGTCTATTAATCAATTAGCTGTAGTAATTAAAAAAAAGAGAACATTTAAAAATAATTAATTGTGTATTTCTTCATGTGTAGGAAAATGAGGAAGATTATGGGGCCTGTTCTGGTTCTGTACAATATACTCCAGTCTACACATTACACAATCAAAAGGAAAAGCACCTAGAAAAGCATAAGCTTGTTCAGGTAAGATTACTGTTCTTAGCGGTGCCACATTTCTAAAATTTCTAATTCTCGGTAGTATAGGGTCACTGTGAGTTGGAATTCAATCACTAGCATACAACAACACCACTGAATTTTTAGGAACCATTTTGGACCCCTTATTATTTAGCGTGTACTCCTGGTGTGGCCCTGTAGGATCAGCACTGGACTGCGAACTGCAAAGTCAGCAGTTCAAGCCCACCAGCTGCTCTTTGGAAACCCTATACAGGGTCGCTGTGAGTCGGAACCAGCTCGACGGCACTTAGCAACAACAGCGACGGTGTTTCGTTTATGATAAGGAAACCTGCATTTTGGTTTAGGAATAGAGCGGATGGCATACTGGCAGACTGTAAGGGGATCAGGATCAGATGCTCTGGATTTCATGTCTGCGAGCTTGTTAAGGCAGATCCACATGTGTTTGCTGTAGAGTGTGAATGAGTATGATGATGAACAGGACATCCAGATTTCCTTCTCTACCAAAATAAAGTGAAATTCATACATGGGAATTTGACCACCAAAATAAGCTATGAAAATTAGAATAGAAAGTAAAAGGGTTAGATATTTTATTTTCTATAAACATTTGAAGTTTACACTTAAAATATTACTCCAAAGTGGGGAAATGCTGTATGTTTAACCGATTTTGCATTGTAGGTATGTAGCCCTTTGTTCAACCTAAAGGTGGTAGGTACATAAAATTTGTACAAACTAAAATCGTGTATTAAGTGGCCTTAGAAAACTCGCTTTTAAAAAGAATTCTGGAGTGGATTATAGATAGAAAATTTCAGAATGGGAAGAGGCTATAGAATTTTGTTCATTACAGGTGCCAAAGTTTACAGTAAACTTGCCCTTCAGTCAGATAGTTCGTGGCAGAGTAAGCTGAGAACCCATCTCTCATCCACCATTAGTTTTATTGGGTGCCCAGGCCCTGTTGGGGTAAAGATGGCCATAAAAAAAAAAAAAAAGTATCCCCATGTGTCTTTTAGAATGAGAAAAAGGCAAATGAACTAAAATTAAAACAAGCCTCTGTTCTCTTGGAAGTATTTTTTGTCATATATTAAGTGTCTTTTCTGACATCCATTTTATAATATTGATGTTTTCATATACTGCAATTGTTTAATAATAGTATCTTAAGTGAATGCTAATTTTATGACCTAGAAGAAGCCCTTCAGTACCATAATTATTCTGTAAATGTAGAAACCTATTTTGGTGAAATGGTAGACTTCTGTCCACTTCTTCAGTCAGAAATTGATCAAACATGCAATTGGGATATATTGATAATTACTAGTGATTGGGATGTGAACTTTGGAAACAAAGAGGAGGGATCAATAGTAGGAACATGTGGTCTTGGTGAAAGAAGCAATGCTGCACATCGCATGATAGAATTTTGCAAGACCAGCAACTTCTTAATTCCAAATACCTTTTTACAACAACATGAATGGTGATCATACAGGTGGACCTAACCAGATGAAATACACAGAAATCAAACTGACTAAATCTGTGGGAAGAGATGATGGAAAAGCTCAGTATCATCAGCCAAAATAAGGCCAAGGGCTGCCTGTGGAATAGACCATCAGTTGCTCATATACAAGGTCAGAGTGAAGCTGAAGAAAATTAAAACAAACCCCTTGAAAGCCAAAATATGACCACCTGAATTTAGACACTATTTCCAGTACAGATTTCATCCATTAGACACTAATGACTGAAGACCAGAAGAGTGTGGATTGACATCATGAAAGTCATACTGGAAAAAAGCAAAAGGTCGTTAAAGAGACAGAAAAGAAAGAAAAGACCACATGGGTGTCAGAAGAGACTCTGAAAAGCACTTGAATGTTGAAAAGGTAAAACAACTGGAAGAAATGATGAAATAGAAGAGCTGAACAGAAAATTTCAAAGCGCAATTTGAAAAGACAAAGTCAAGTATTACAGTGAAATGTGCAAAGACTTGAAGTCAGAAAACTAAAAGAGATAAACATGTTCAGCATTTCTCAAGCTGAAAGAACTGAAAAAAAAATTTTTAAGTGTAGGGTTGTAATATTAAAGTAGTCTATGGGCAAAATATTGAATGACAGAAAGCATCAAAAGAAGATTAAAGGAATACACAGTAACTCTCCAAAAAGAATTGGTCAGTGTTCAACTGTTTCAAGAAGTAGCATAAGATAAAGAACTGAGATAGCATTGGAAGAAAGAAGTCTAAGCTGCACTGAAGGCATTGGTGCAAAACAAAGAATTAACAGAATGCAAATTAAAATGTTTCAATAAGCTGATGCATTCATTACTAGAGGCACTCATTTGTCTGTGCCAAGATATTTGGAAGACAAATGCCTGGCCAGCTGATTGGAAGAGATCTATATCTGTGCTCATTCCAAAGAAAAATGACCACTCCCTCACCCCCAAATGAGGAAAATTTTGCTGAAGATAATTCAAAAATGGCTTCAATAGTACATTGATAGTGAGCTGCCAGAAATTCAGGCTTGCTTCAGAAGAGCATATGGCCCAAGCAATATCATTGCTGATGCCAGAAGGATCTTAGCTGAAAACAGAGAATACCAGAAAGTTGTTTACTTGTGCTTTATTGACTATGGAAAGGCTTTTGATTGTATTGATCATGACAAACTAAGAATAACATTTCAAAGAATGTGTATTCCAAACACTAAATTGTGCTCATGGGAAACATACACATAGACCAACAGGCAGTTTTAGAATAGAACAAGGAAATACTTCATGGTTCAAAATTAGGAAAAGTGTGTATTAGAGTTGTATCCTTCACCATACTTTATTGTTAATTGCAGTTGAGTTAGTTCCAACTCATAACAACCTCGTATAAGGGTTCCAGGACTTCCGGTGTGGCTCTATGGATCAGCCCTGGACTGCAAACCACAAGGTCAGCAGTTCAAACCCACCTGCTGCTCTTTGGAAACCCTATACAATGTTGCTATGAGTTGGAACCTACAGGATGGCACTTAACAACAACATTAGGGTTTCCAAGGAACAACTGGTATATTTGAACCATTAACCTTGCTTATCCTACAGGACCATACCAGTACAACTTCACCAACTTACTTAAATTGTATTTGGAGCAAATAACCCAAAGAAGTGGAGTATATGAAAAAGAACATGGTATAAGGATTGGAGGAAGATTCATTAAGAACCTTTGATATGCAGATGACACAACCTTCCTTGCTGGAAGTGAAGAGGACTTGATGAAATTCAAAGATTACAACCTTCAGTATGGAATGAAAACAAAAATCCTTACAAAGGGACCAATAAATAAATAACTTGATAAATGGAGAAAAGATTAAAGTTTTCAAAAGTTTCATTTTGATTGAATCCACAATCAACATTCATGGAAGCAGCCGTCAAGAAATCAAACAGTGTATTGCATTAAGCAAATCTGCTTCAAAAAGTGTAAAGAGCAAATATGTCACTTTCAGGTCTAAGGTGTGTCTTACCCATGCATCATGTTTTCAGTCACCTCATATGCATGTGAATGTCAGACAGTACAGAAGACCAAAGAAGAACTGATGCGTTTGCATTATGGTGTTGGTGAAGAATTACTGTAAGTACCATGTACTGCCCGAAGAAGAAACAAATCTGTCTTGGAAAGTGTCGCCGGAATCCTCATTAGAAGCAATGATGGAGAGACTTTGGAAGTGTTGTCAAAATGGACCAGCTCCTGAGGACATCATACTTAATAAGGTGGAGGACCAACAAAAAGGAGGAAGACTCCCACCCTCCCACCCTCAACAACAAAAGAGAAAGACAAAGTGGCAGTAACAATGGGCACAAATATATCAACAATTGTGAGGATGGCACAGGACTGGACTGCGTTTTATTCTGTTGTGCACAGGGTTGCTTTAAATAGGATCCTACCTGATGGCACTTAACAACACAACAACAACCATAACTGGAAAACTTCTATTAATTTATTATTGTTGTTTTTAAGTGGCGTCAAGTTGATTTCAAATTATAGTGACCCTATATAAAGGGTTTCCAAGGAGAGGCTGGTGAGTCTGAACCATCGACTTTGCAGTTCATACCAACCTTGCCGTCTAATGCTTATCCTATGGTGCCCCATCAGGACCTAATAATGTGTTTGCTATTAATATCTTTGATTTTTGTCCCATTGCCATATGCTTAATTGTCTATCTATTCTCATGTTAACATCTTAAACATTTTTGTCTAATATTGGAGCCTTTTGATGAATAGATTTTTATGTGGAAAAAAAATCGGAAACTTTGTTACCCACATGATTCTATAAGATAGGAAAACAATATTTAAATTGGACAGTATGTTTACTAAATACAACTTTTAAGATAAAGAAAAATGTATCTGCTCATTTAAATTTCTAAATCATCCTTTCATTTACCATGATGTAACATTTTTATTGAATCCATAGTTCAATCATTTATTATAATGCCACTAATTCAGTTACATTCATTAAATTATCATTTTGTGGTTTTCAAATGGATGTGACAACAATCTTAACACTAATAAGAATTAAGAGAGATAGGGCTTATTATGGAGTCCTGGTGTGGCGCTGTGGGTTAATGCGCCAGACTACAAAACCTTTTGAACTGCAAGGTTGGCAGTTCAAGCTCACCAGCTGCTCCTTGGAAACCGTATACAGGGTCACTGTGGGTCGTAATCGACTCAACAGCACTTAACAACAACAACAACAACAGAGCTTATTATATTAAGAATCCTAATATGCTTTTCTTATTTTTATTTAGGAATTTGTAAAATCAGTGTATTTGGCATTAAGCAGATACTGAGAGTGTCTGAATAACAATCTTTTTTAAGTGATAAATATCATATTTTCAGATGACATGTATACCTAGGATATATGTCTCTTTGTGTATATGTGCCTCATTATAGAAATTGATTGTATAATCTATGTGTATATATTTTAATAGCTAAAATTTTAAGTGTTTATATTTCTAATAATTTATGGCCTAATAATTATTAAAATATTGTTTAGCTTGTAT